GACAAGTTTCAGATGATTTACAAAGGGGGAGAAGCGGCAGTGAGGGGAGGGCAACGGGGCAGGGCAAGGGTGCACAAAGCCGTGGCCAGGGGGGCTCCTCGCCCCCCAGCTGCAGCACCCTCCCCACATGGATGCGGCGCAGCAGCCACCGTCCGCACCGTCCGCCCTGCCGGGATGCCGCCAGCACACCCAGACCTCTGCCACACCTACGCGGGAGCAGCAGCCGGCCGGGAAGAGAGGCTGAGCTCTGCCAGCAGCTCGCTCTTGCTTTCACGCCTCTGGAGGTGCCACCGCGAGTTGTGGCTGCCCCTCGGCCCCCTTTCCTTTCCCGTGTTCCTTCTCTTTTAGATCATAAGCCTGACGCAAGACCATATCCTGTTACAATCGCTGCAAGCTGCCCAGGGAGCCTCTTCTCATCCGACAACCCGGATAAAGAGGCTGTGAACGAGACCAAGAACTTTCAGCAGATGTTTTGAAGACATGGGTGCGTAACTGCTCCGTCACTGGCATTCTCATCCAAACTCATGGGCCAACATGCATGCCTCTTTCAACTTTTAGTGAAATGAACCACCCTATTGTGAAACTTCAACCACAGCACCATTTCTACATGCAAAATTTTTTTTATTTTGCCAGATAAACCTAAGCATAGGATGTCTTAGACCTCATGACTGCCGATTTCCTGGGAAATTTGCAGCTCCAACCCAGCAGGGAAACTTGCTTTCATGCAAGGTCTTTGATCAAGTCTTCCCTGGAGTCCTCCCCTTTCCTGGCAGGTGTGCTTGGAACCTATTCACAGGCCTGAACATCTAACACGAGGGGCTGAATAGCCTGAGCGACGCACCTGCGGAGCGATCCATGTCTCGGTAACGGGATTGGCACATCCCTCGCTGGGCAGAGACCAGGAGCCTTCCTGACTTTTGTCTCCAACACATTTTAGGGAATCAGCCAGGACAAAAACGCCCGGTCTTTGTGACACTGCCCCACAGGATTTTTAACACCTACACCCGCTACCTTTCACATGCATTCCTGAGCAAAACAAGAGCCCGTGCGCAAGACCAGCAAGCAACCTTCATCACAGGTGCTGTTGTGGGGGGGACCTAGCCCTCAAGGGGGCCCCTCCAAACACACCACACACCGGGCTTCCCCAGGCTGGTGACCTCCAGAAGCATTTGACTCCAACTCTCAGAATCCCTGACCCTATGCTGTGCTGGCTGGGGCTGATGGGATCTGAAGCCCAAAATATCTGGAGGGCGCCGGAATGCTGAAGGAGGCCGTTCACACACGCTCGGGTCAGAACAAGCCTGGGTCTTTCTCAGAGTACGTACAGTGCACACCGAGTCTCAGCCTGCCAAGTTCGGGGCGCTTCTAGGGCGCTCCTCTAGGTGGGAGGCGTGAGTGCGGCAGGGAGTGCCGGGCCTGTCGCTGGGCTTATGCCGGCCTCAGAGGAGACAGGCATCCAGCCACCCACCGCCTGCTTGCCCGCCCAATCAGCCCCATGACCTTGGTGCCAAAAATCAGGGCCCCTTTGTTATGCCTCTTGTGGCCCTTCCAGAGGATGACGCATCTGATGCCGCAAGTGGAGTCTGTCCGAGACGGGGGACACTCCAGGCACGGGCTGGTTTCAGAACCAGAGAATGTCCTGCTGGGCTCGAGAGTGCAGCCCTCCAGTTCCCATCAGCCCCAGCTGGCATAATCACTGGTAAGGAATTGTGGGAGGTTGGGGCCAGACATGGAAGAAGCTCAAGCTGCCGACTCCTCTTCATCCAGTTGCCAAAATAGCTCCGTGGCAAAGAGTGCGTGTCGGGGGAGCTGCGGAAAGCAGATATTTTCCAGCCAGAAAAGAGTGTACCCGCAAGGTTTACTCCTGCTTTGTGCATGTAAGAAATTGTGTAGGACTTGTTTATGCTCCTTAATTTTGTCTGCAATATGTGAACCAGCTCCTTGGAAAACTCTGCCTGGCGTGATGCAAGGCACTGTGAAAATTCTGTCTGCAGCACTTGGCCTGTGATGGCACATTCACACATGCCAGTAAACACTCGACACTGTCCTCACCGAGCACCAGATTAAACAGCCTGACTCTGGATTTGGTGTGTCGAGAATACAGACGCTGCATCAGAGGTGGGAGGCTTGCAGGCCTCTGGATGTTATGGAGCTACAAATCCCACCTGCCCCAGCCAGCAGGGCGAATGGGACTCACAGTCAACAACATCCAGAAGAACACAAACTGCCATTTGTTTTCTCTACACTTGGGCCACACAGCAGGACCAAAACAGCCACACACCAAGCATTCGCAACCTGACCCTGGAACATGCCTCTTCCGGACAGTGCCACAGTCTTGACAGTGCCATTATCGGCAGGCGCATGTTCTAACTCAACGGAAGCGCCTTGAGGAAAGGCCTGGCCATTTCGTAATCCTGTTGCTCTCAGATGAGCAAGGATGTGCTTTTCACCTCCACATTCCTTCTTCTTTAAGGCAGCAGCTTGCTAAATCTATGCCAGGGAACTCACAAGGTGTGTAATGGCAGGGAAAGAGCCCCAGAAGATGGCACTGCCCGTCACGTCCCGCTGGATGCGACGCAGAGGGCACGCTCCGTCCCCACAGGGCAACCCTCCCAGATGCAGTGACAACCGGTGGGACTTTGCAAGGCAAAGGCTGCTGCACAGCAACGCAGGGACGCCACGGGCTTGACCAGCTGCGTACTTCTGGCCGCTGGACAAGCCGTGCATGGCACCACCACAAAATGGCTGCCGTGGGAGGGGTGGCTACCCACAAAGGGCAACAACCTGCCCGAAAGCTCAGCCTGGGGCAGAGGGATGGCTGAGTTCCAACATGCCAAGCCATTCTACATTCTTCAGCGCCAGCAGAGCGCTGTGTCAGGGAAAGCAAACGCCTTCCCTCTTCCACACTTTCCCAGCCAACTTGCTCTTGCCTCCCGGGACAAATTCGAGAACAAATGCTAAGCCGGGCCCTCCATCATTTCGGCTTGCAAGCTGGCCCAGGGCCCCAGCTGGTGGAGCTCCTGGGGAGGTGGCAGCAGGACAACCTGCCAACCCTGAACCATGAAAGGTTGAGAGAAGGGCCAAGGGATGGACGGACGCGTGGCCTTGAATGCTCATGTGCCAGCACAGACACATCTGCAGGGCCCCATCCAGGCTCCCAGGAGAGGGAAAGATCGGGCCAACTGCTGCTTTAAGGACGAGGACGGGGCTCCTTAAAAGGCAGACAGGTAGGCAGCAAGATTGATAAGAGGAAGAACATTGCAAGATGATTAGATCAGCTAAGCATGCTGGAAAGTGGGGAGTTAGGCAGCTTGTTGCTCTCTATACAAAGATCACTTCCTCAGATATTTTGGCCTCTGCCCTCATTAATTAGCAAAACTGCTAGAGCTTAAGAACAGGAATTGGGCGTTGAAGAATTTGAAGGATGAAGGGCATTCTCAGGAGGGGAAGAGAGCTTTCTTTCATTCTTCCATTCCCTTTTAGCCACAACACGAAAGTGTCCTGCCCTTATATCCAGGAATTCTCTTGCAACTGAGGTCTCACCAGAGAAATCTGCCCAAGCTTCGGTCCCTGGCAGCTAGGGAGTTTCTAGATATGGCAGCTAAGCATTTAACACCAGCGTGCTTCTAGCCTGGGAGATAATACACTTTTCCCAAGCTTTTAATCCTTTCATAAAACCCTCTTGCACTCTCACACCCCTTGAATCACAAGTGCCACCTTTCCTGGGGAAGGACCACCCAGACTAAGCTCCCCTCTCCTCCATCTTTTGCCCAGCTCTTCTCAGTCTGTCATTTCTGCCACTGGCTCTTAAGAGGATGCAGTCCAGATCAACTGAGAAAGAACACAGTCCAGGGAGAACGCCAGCCTCGGCCGGGAGAGGACAGAATATCATTTGCTCAGTCTGATTTGCAGGTTATAATCTTATGTCCATGCAAGAGCTGGCACTGGTCAGACTCGTTCTGCCACAGCAGCACAATCTCACGCCTGCGAACCGGCACAGCGTGACTCCTCGCCGGAGCCTCACTTATTTGCTAAATTCCCTAAAGTAACAGCCCTGCAATTACCCAGCGATTGCACATTCCCTCCCCTCCCCCCAAAAAAGAAGGAAAAAAGCTGCTTCTAATTACCCCGCGCAAAAATAGCCCTGGTTCTTAGCATATGCTCAAAGGGTCCTTCCGGCCGCGTAATTAAAAGGACACAAAGTCATTTGCCTTTTGAAAAACATCTGTTTACAAGACGCACACAAAAGATCACAGGGGGCAAGGGACGCATCCATTGTTCGCTCACCAAAGCAAGCCACATGCAAAGCAGAAGGGGGCGGGCGGGGGGGGGGAGGCAGCGCACACTCCAAAAGCAGGGCGCTAGGGAGCCGGGTGGCGACAGCACAGAGGGATGCGGGGGGGGGGCGAGCGCCCCCTCTCCGTCCCTGATACGCCTGGGAAGATGCCCCCCCCGCGCCCCTCCAAAGCAGGCGACCCCGGCGAGCACCATCTGCCTCCCAGCCGGGAGGATATCGCCTCCCCCTCCACCCCCCTCCATTGTGTTTGTCTGGGCTCAGCGCGCTCCCCCTCGGCTATTTCGGCCTCTTTTCCTCGCCTCCGCCGCTGAAGGGGCCGGGAGGGCTCGGCGGGGGCAAAGTTGCGCCGCAGCTGCCGCCCGGCAAGCGCGGGGTCGCGAGAGGCGCAAAGGCGGCGCAGCGTTGCCCACGCGCCGAGAAGTTGCGCTTGCCCGGCCCGGACGCGCCAGGCGGGCGCTTGCCGGGAAGCCCCGATCTCGGGCAGGGCAGGGCAGGGCAGGGCGCGAGGGGCTCCGCCGACTCGCGAGGAGACGCGCCACGGACGGTGCGAGCCCGGCGGACCGCGCAGCCTGAGGCGCACCTCTCCGGCGGTGCTGCGGGACGCGGCATCGGGGGCTCCCCGCTGGGGCTCCGCGCCGGGGGCAAGCGGGGCGCGGACGGAAGGCGGGCACCGAAGGGGGCGCGGAAGTCGCCGGGCACTTACCGAACGCGAGCAGCGCGGCTTCGGCGGCGCTGACCATCTTCCCCGCCGGCGGGAGCGCTGCTGGCGGGACGGGCTCCGCTCCTCCTGCCTTGGCCCGCCGGGCGACGCCGAGCACGCCCGCCCGCCCGGGGCGCAGAGCAGCGCGGCCGTTCGCCTGCGGCGTCCCGGGGCCGGCAAGTGCGCGGCGGAGGCAGAGCGGCGCGGAGGGCAGCGCGTCTCCTGCTCGGCGGCGCGGTCGGCCGGGTGCTGCCAGGTGCGCCGCGCGGCCCGGAGTGGCCGAGGCGGGGGAACGCGCCGCCTCCCGCCTTTCTCCCACGCCCCCCGGGCTGGTTGGCTGGCTGGCCGGCCGGGCGGGCGGGCGAGAGAGGGAGGGAGGCGCCGCGCCGCGGGCTGGGCGGGCGCGGAGGCGCGCCGGCGGAACGGCCCCCCACTGGCTCTGCGCCGTTGCTGCGCGGAGGGGGCGCGCCGGGGCCCGACCCTCCGGCGGAGGGGCGCGGGAGGTTCCGAGACGCCGAGAGCGCTAAGCCGAACCTGCGCAGAGCTCCAGCCGGCCTGGGCGGGGAGGCCGCGCTCCGGGGCGCCCGCCGTGCCACCCGGAGCCCCGCGGGCACTCCGGCCTCGCCCACGTGGACTGCTCCGCGCGCCCCGAGGGCCCTGTGCGCTCCCCCTGGCGCCGGTAAGGCCTTTGTAACGCTTGCCCCGGCCCTCGTCCGGCGGCGGCGGCGGCGGCGGCGGCGGGTAAGCGGCTTGCGCAACCCGTGCTCTGGATCCTGCCGCTTCCTACGTGAGCGGCAAAATGGCAGGCCCCTCCGCCATGGCATCAGGTCCCGCGGCTCGGTGCAGTGCTGCAAAGCCAGGCTGCGGGCCACGTCGGTCCCGGAGCCGGTCCCGGCCAAGGCAGCCATTTTGTGCGCCGCGCGCCTCCCATCCTCGCCTCCTCCTAAGTAAAGTGCGCCTGCCCAGAGGAAGGGGGAAGTGTTTGTGCAAAAGCCCGTGGCCCTCCAAATGTCGAGATTGTAACTCCCATCATCCCTGGGCATTGCAGCTGGAGTTCCTGGGAGTCGAAGCCCAACAACATTCTGGGACATAATCTGCAACCCCGCACAATCCAAGTGATAGGACTGCTGTTGAAGTCACTAGCAGGGGCGGCCCAATGTTTTGGGCCCACAATGCCCATCAGCCCCAGCCAGCAATGAGGGATGATGGTATTTTAGGCCACGATATGCGAAGGGCCACTCCATCCCCACATTGCAGGGGTAGAATAAACAACGTCACTGGGATGGATGCACAACCCTTTTTGGAATCCTTCATTGTCGGGGAGCCTTGGCCAGTTCCCGCGATCCTTGCTTGCTGCTTCAGCCAAAACAAACCAGCTCTCTGAGTGGAGAATGCTGCTGGCAGGAGCAAGGTGCACCGGAAGAACCGGTCGTGGTACCCATGAAAGTGAGCCACGATCCACTGGCTGCGTCCCGAGCGAGAGCTGCCCATCTTCCAACCTGCTCCTGAGTTGGGGCACCCGTGAGAGCGATCCTATGCTATGGAGGCTTCGGGTTCCCAGATCTGAGGCCAGAGCCAGACTTCCCACTCCATCTCAGCCCCCCATTCTGCTTCCTGTCAGCATCCCAGCAGTCACGGGAAGCGCTCTGCGGGCTGCTTCTCCAAAGCTGGAAATACACCTTGGAGAGGGAGAGACGGGGGCTGATTCTGAGCCAAGACGGGGTGGCGGGGGGGGGCCTTGCTTGACAATCAGATGCAATTATGGGAAAAAAGATGATTGCTACACAAAGCCAAAGGCAGACTCGCTGGCATTGACAGCTTTGAGCAGTTAATGCTGCCTTGTGCCTTGGCAAATCTGCTTTGGCTGAGGAGGCCGTCGCGCGAGGAGGGAGTTGGTGCTGCCTGCACCACGCACGGCTGCGGGGCTTTCCTCATGCAGAATTCTCCAGTTCCTGGAGGGCCAATCCTGCGCAAAGTTGGACAGGCCAGCCAGCACTGCTGAGCTTTCAGCCTTTTTCTGTCCATGCTTGCTATAGTTTCTCCTTGCACCTCCATTTCTGTAAACGCAATAGCAGCTATTTATGTTAATTGCAGGAGCTAATTTCTTTTTTTTAAAGATATAGTCAGTCCCCAGATTATGAATGAGTCCCATTCCTAAAAAAATGGAACTTCGTCTTTTAAGTCGAATTTGCATTTAAGTTGGATTGTGTACAGTTGGCCTTCCACATTCACAAGGTTGGGGTGCGGGACCCGTGAAACAAGAAACCGCCCTCCTCGGACCTCTTCCCTCACCAGCATCTCCTCTTTGCAGCAAGGAAATGCCAGAGGCATTTCCCTCTCTGGATGGGCGGGGCAGGAAGACCTGCTTTGGAGGTCCCCCCACTCCCCTTCGGCTCCCCCTCTCCACCTGTACTGGCTTCTTATGGATCCCAGAAGGTTATGACTGGGAAGGGTGAGGGGAGTTTGCCAAAACTTTGGAGGGGACCCAAGCTGCCCATCCCCAGTCTAGTGTTTCCAGTGCCACAGTAACAAAACAAGTTTCACAGCCATAAAATGTTAATACATTGCCCTTAACAGATAAATGTGTTTGTCATTTGTGTGTGCGTTTACTACTGACCTAGAAAAAAAACAGGAGTGAAACGTTCTGAGAACGTGGGAAGCAAAACACGACAACTACTGCCTCCTCCTCCTCCTCCTCCCCTCCTCCTCCCCCTGCTCCCCCTTCTTCAGAGATTAAAAGAAACAACCTAGTAATTTCCTGCAGAAATTAATCACTGCCCTCCAGCCTCTGAGTAAAAAGGTAAAGTCGAGGGAGTGCAAATTAGCAGGTCCTGGGAAGTCTCCGCCCAGAAGGCCAGGTGTGACTTAGCCTCCTAGGAATGCCAGGTATGTGTCTTGCCAACTACCTGCCTGTAGTGCTGGTCCTTGGGATGGGTGGGTGGAGTTCTGGTCAGCGAGCGCCTGGCCCTGGAACGCAGAGACTGTTCCAAAGGCCGTCTTGCTTTGCAAGGCGCCGGTGGATTTCACTCTCCACAGTTAATCGGCAACTTGGGTGCAGTTTTAAAGGCCAGTCTGTGTCAGGATTGTCTTTGCCATTGTGCTAGGGGCAAGGGAAGAGGCTGGGGATCAATTTTAGGTGTGCACCTGGTAAAAACAAGGGCACCTCAGAGCATGCACCGAGTCCCTCCCTAGAAAGCAACTCCAAACTGTTGTGAGAACGGAGGAGCGGGCCGGCTTTCTCAGGGAGCAATGATGCTCCTGGCCCTGCATCCCAAGCCTGCCCCTGCTTTGCAGAAGGCCTCTCTGAAGGGCCCAACTGGCCAAGTCTAGTTCACCAACAACAGACCCGAAGGAAGAACTCGGTGGCTGCCCATCAACAGCACCTGACGGAGGAGGGCCCTGGGGGGGCAGCTCCGCATTTACAGTTGCAACAATTATTTCCAGGTTTGCCTCTATCAAAATTAGTGTGCTGAGTTTTATGCAAATGAGCAGGCTCTTCTTTCCTTTTTGTGTTGTTGTTTGAGGGTCACAATTGCCCCCTGCAATCCTGCGGTGCAGCTTCAGGTAAGTGTGAGGAGATCTCCCTCCGTAAGCACTTAGTAGCTCAGTGAAAAGGAAGCAGTGCAAGGAATGTTTCTGCTTGCGAATTAATGAAGCGTGCCCTGTGGAGACCTCAGCAAAGTGTTTGCTTTGAGAAAGGAGAGCTCTGTGTTCACTGTGACGCTTGCAGGATGCAGGAAAATGTGCCGGTTGTGAGAATGCTGCATGAGATCTCCTGAAGGAGAACTGGCACTCGGGGCCAACGGCACTGGGAGGACTGGGTTTGGGGGAAACGAGGCGCTGGAGTTGGCTGGAGGGGAAATGCAGCCACTCACTTGAGAGTTTGTGTAACTCCAACACACTGCGGCAATTCTGCTCAAGGGCGGTCAAAACAACCTGTGCATGGAAATTTTCAACTCCAGATCAGTTGATCTAACAGAGGAGCACTCTGATCGTAAAGGCATTTACTTGGAAGGAAGCCCGTCCCAAAGTGGATGTTTATTCCAAGTGTGGCCATTAAAAATCTCAAATTGGAGGCCCCTCTTGGAGTGCCGTGGCCAGAAAGAAGGTGAGATGCCGTGGCAGCCCTGGCAAAAGGGACTTGTGCTGTACGAGCAGGTGATGCACTAGTCTGCAGGGAAGCGGCCTCCCTGAAACCAGTTGGGCTTGCTTCTGAGCAAACATGCTTAGGTTGGGTTTCCAAATCCACGGGGGACTTGCATTATTCCCGAGACATTAATTCCTAGGGTGTAAGTCGCGAGGAACGTGGCAGCATTTCATGAGGATGAGCTCAGGCCACCTTCCAGAGGAGGCTGTCTGTCGCATCTCCGCTCGAGTCAGTGCTCTGGATGTGATTTATCCCCTTCCAGTCAAAATTCACTGGGTGTCATGGAAGCACCAGCCTGATGACCAAGGCCATTGCTCCTCCAGGCTTTTTGACGGCACGGGCATTGTTGGATTGGCAGGCGGGAGGGAGTAGGAGGGCAGCCCCTCCTTGCCCCAGCTGCCGGGCTGCTGGCTCTGTTCAGGCCACCCCATGGGTTTCTTGCTGCTTTCCCCCAGCTGGTGCCTTCCAGAGGTGTTGGAGAACAGCTCCTGTAGGATAATGGCCATGCTGGCTGGGGATGGTGGGAGCTGTTTCTGGAAGGCAACTGGCTTCAGGATGGCTGGCTTATGCGGTAGTGCAGGCTAGCCTGGATGATGGGGGCCCTACTGGTTCTGGGGAGCAACATGGTGGCAAAGGGGTCGAGACCAAAGGGTTTTTCTTTCTATTTGGAGTCATGCACACCCTTTTCCCAAAGCGGCTTTCCCTTTGCCAGCCACAGCACAAACTTTGGGAAAGGACAGGTTCTGACTAACTCTGTTCCAGTGCGTGTTGAGGTTTGGGTTCAGGAGTGTGCACTTGGTGACTCTCACTGCGGTGCAAACCGGGCTAATTTCTCACCCCTCCTCAGTATGCCCCGTGTGAATTCGGGAGCAGGGGCGTGCCCCTTGGCCTTTCTGCCTCAGG